CCCCTTTCCACGACTGCTACAGAATCCTAGGGACCGAACACTACTCATTTCCGCGCTCCCTATCTGAATCATTCATCTTCAATTTGCCTGAGCCCGCTCCGCCAGCAACTTAGTCTCTTCGCTGCCCGTGCCATGCTCAACCCCGAACACCGTGCGATTGAACGTCAAGAACGTCAGGCCCTTCTTGCTCAGGATGCGCGACTCCCAGCCAGGCGGGAAGCGTTCCTCCTTGAGGAAGTATTCGAGGTCAGCTACCCGGCCGCCGAAGATCGTGAGCATAGTCGAGGAGCTGCAGAGATCAGATTAGATCGGATTGAATCAGACTGGATTAGATTAGACAACGACCGCCCACTCACTTGGAGCTGCCGAACATCTTGTGCTGCGTAGCCAAGCTGAACTCAGGGTTTTCGGCCTGAGCATCAGCACGACGCTTGGCAGAGAAGCGCGCGAGATCGTCAGCGGTGAGCAGCACTGAATCATCTTTCGCCTTGCCTGACGCAGAGTCGAGCAGCTCAGTGATATAGGGCAGATAGGGTTTGCCTTGGTCCTTGTCAAAGTGGTAGTCCTGGCCTATGACGTATGAGCTGGACCCACTGGGCCAAAGGGAAATAACGCACGGGTCAAAGACGCGTCGTGCTCGATTCCGTTGTGCAAGCTGATATCTGCTAGATCACATGTTCCCTAGAACAGACAGATGAGAACCGCATACTAGGAATGAAGCAGGGAAAACGCACGGTCTTGTAGTCACGTTTCAGCAACCCAGCGATGAACTGTGGCACGAACAAACAGAACGTCGGCGCGAAGTTGAATGAGGTCCGGACAGTCTCAGTGATCGTCGTGAACTTGATGTTCTTCCCGTCATGCGGCAGAATGCCTGGTGTGATTCATCTCAGAACTCAACCGAACGAACGACAAATTCTATTTTACCGTGGTTGGCCATAGCGTTCAACATCGGGCACGCGCACCGACTGTCGCCCTCCCCCGGCGCGACGTATTCGGGCCACTCGCCACCCGCTCCCGGGGCGCCGTGCGGGACGACGCTGCCGACCTTGAGGTTCGGCGCAACAAGATTGTACAGCGTGAGCACAAAGTCATAGCTGAAGATGTACGCGTTCGTGAGCAGCTTGGGGGTGCTTATCGTGAGCATCGTCTCTGGTCGTTGCAGATTCGTACGGAAAGGTAGGGGGAAAGAAGGAGAGAAGAGGAGAAGAGGAGGCTGAGCTAATAAGTACCACCTTGCGGCGCTCGTCACCATCACCCTTCCTTCACACCTGCCGCTCAATTTCCCACCATTTCCGCAAGATTGTCCCCAGAAGCCAGGGGGTGCCTTCTATTCGCATCTTCAGTACTCACGTTCAAGCATTTCAGCCAGAATTGTCACTTTATCCTTACCCGTAAGGCCGGCCCGAAAGCTTGGTCTCGACTGGTAAGGTCATAGGAAAACATGGGTGATTTTCCAGAGACATGGTGAATGGTGGGTGAAAGAGAGGCTTGTCGCTTTCGCATGATGGCTGAAAGCGTCGATTGACAGGAGACAGGAAATATGGTACATCACATCACACATGCGGAGAAACAACGGCTTGTCATTTATCGCGCCTTCGAGGATGGATGACCCAGACCCAAAACAGACCCTACGACAACGCTTCTACCAGCCAAAAGCACGCGCAGAAGTGTGATTGGTCCCGACTTCAGGAACCGTTCCGGGCAGCTCCACAAGCGGGCCTTTTGGCGGCACGACGTAGTAACTGAAGAACAGCAGCTTCAGCGACAGCGCCAATCCAGCATGCAGTACAGCCAGCACAATGATGAGAAGGCGCGTGGCTTTCGCTTCCGCCTGTCCGCGGTTTCAAAGACGTAAGCGACTAGATGCGGTTGGTGGATCAAAAATGACGCACCGAAGCGAGGACAGGGTACACGTTCCTTGCAAGAAACCATCCCGAGGAGCCAAAGGCTAGTGCGACTAAGATCCAGCGGAAGAGGGGCACGGGAATGACCGCGAGGATCTTAGCGGCGCTCCATCAGGAACACGGTTGGTCAGCGGGTAGAAAAACGGCGATCACGCACAGAAACAGGTATCCACACGAACATCGCGTAACCCCACACCGCGACGGCTTCAACGAGACCCCACTCGCCCACGCCCAGCCATCGCAGCGCACCCCACAGCATCGCGGGGAGCACCAGCCCGTATGAGTAGATCAACGGCACCGCGACACTGAGCAAGCCAAAGTCGTAGTCATAGCTGTGCTTGCCGGTCAGTTGCTAGCCTCGAAGCATGATCAACGCAACGACGCACGAGACATCGGGGTCAGACAAGTATGCTGAGACACTCGCAGCAAGAGAGCTCGAGAGGAAAAGCGTGAAAATGAGCGTCGTGGACGTCCAGAACGGGCCGTACAGATCCGGATTTGGTATGAGGTGTGTGGAGAGGAAGTCGGTGCTCGTTGGGAGTAGTGTCGAGTAGCACCGCCAAAGGACCACATTCGTGTCGACATCAAAGTGGGACTGATAATATTCGACAGAGAAGACAGAGGCTGGACCTGATTTGCCGCTGTCGGAGAGGTACCCTGTGTGCAGGCAGTGGTCTCAGCAGAGAAAGGAAATGAGGGACAGTAGTGAGGTACTTACCTCTGTCCGCGCGGCCTACACCCGGTGCTCTCGACTCGCTCCTTGATTCGCCATCTCCACTCCCCAGAAAAGCTATTCACGCGTAAACCTCACGCGCACAGGTCACACAATGGTACACGTACATTTGAACTGCAATCCTTCGTTTCCTTCTTCAAAACGCTGTAATAAGGTCTAGCGTTACACTCTCCATAAGCACCCTTGCACACTGCGCACGTACATCTTCCCCGTCGATTGCGACGTATGCCATGTATGCGGATGGATGGTGATGTGCGGTCCGTCACTAGTGACGAGTGGTAACTGTGACATATGTGGCTGTGTGTAGGATTGATGCGTAACCAGCGCCTTGCTTGACTCTTCTCGATCTTCTTTGACTGAAATGAGGATTCTGCTCACGGCTCTCGTCGTCCGTTGTTAAGAAGGCCAAAGAAGACTGGGATTACCATTCTGGACCTGTGACTGGGTCGTACCATCCACGGAACTACAATGATGGGCGCGTGTCTAAATCGGTCCTCTCACTAGCTCTCCCACCGTCTGCAAGCCGGATATCATCGCTGCTCTGTGTGCGCAACATGACTACGCCATTGGTTTGGCTCATCACAGGTAGGGTCCTGGTTCTCCTCCGCCCCCGTGCACGAATCCAACAACACTGAACAGGCACTTCGTCTGGCTTCGGACGCGCCTTGGTGGCTCAGGTTCTAGCACGCGGGGACCGCGTGATAGCAACATCCAGAACCGTAGATGGCGTGCGTGATCTAGATGGAAACAGTGGCGATCTGAGGATCATGGAGTTGGATGTGACGGCAGGGATGGACGTCCTCAAGTCTGTCTGCTACATCAGTCAGTCTTCAGGCACAAGACTCATGGCACTTCCATAGATCCAAATTCAAGCAAGCCGTCGAATTCTGGGGAAGAATAGATGTTCTTGTGAACAACGCCGGCACGTTACACACGGGCATACTGGAGGAGGGAGGGTGATAACTGTGCTTCCGTCCTTCCAAGACAGAGCCTTATCGGTCCCCACAGATCGGCACTTCTCAGAAAGCAATTCGAAGCAAATGTTTTCGGTCTGCTGGATGTTACAAACGCATGTGTCCCCCATTTCCGTGGTCTAGGTGGAGGGACTATCGTTGTTATTGGGAGTCGATCGGCTTGGAAGACAGATATCATCGTCAGTCCAAGTTGTCGTTCTTTAAAGGATATATACTCACATTGAACTCCAGGGAATTGGTATGAACGTCGACCTCACTGAGCTCCAAGTTCGTTCATGCGCTTATGATAGGGCCGTACGCAAGCTCGAAAGCCGCTGTTCGCGCGTTGGCCGACACGCTCTCGGTGGAACTCGCGCCATTCAACATCCGAGTTCTGCTGGTAGAACCCGGGGCGTTTCGGACAAACATGATTCGCCTCGAGACGAACTCAGATTCCGGTACCCGTCTGGCAGCTTACGATGGGACGAGAGAAACTAGCGTCCGATTCTACGCAGACCGACATGGGACGCAGGACGGGGACCCTGCGAAAGCTATGGCGGCTGTTGTCGAGGTCGTCAAAGGCGAAGGTAGAGCAGCTGGAAAGCCGTGGCCCAGCTGTCTCGTGTTGGGAGAAGATGCGGACCGAGATGTGAGGGAGAAATGCAGAACTATGACCACGCATTTGGATGAATGGGCTGATGTCGTTCAAATGTGTAGCTTCGATAAGTAAGCAACGAAACACTAGATGGATTGATCTTCTTGCGATCCAAGACCTGCTTTGAAAGACAAAATGTGATGGCAGTTCATCTTGAACAATCCGATTGGCTCAGTGAGCCAGACTTGAATTCAAATTCAGGAAAGGTGCTAGTCGCAACGAAACCCAGATGCAGTCTTCACATCGCAGCAAGGGGTCAGTCAGGTTATGGTCTATATTCATTGTCGGATTTCCCGTAGATGTTCAATCATATGCCGTTCGTGTGTAGCATCCGATCGTCGGCAGCGGCGATTTCGAGACTACGTACCAGTTCGGTGGACATGTCTTTCAGCGAACGCCTTTCCGCGTACAACATCAATTGAGCATTGTCAATTTGTGATACACAAGACGAAGCACATCTCGATCCACGAAAGTGGTGGGCGTTGTGTTCCAGCAGTGGGCCAAGTGCTAGTGGGGCAAGATGGCCAGCTCCTCGTCGTGCAGGGTCTGAGAGCAGCGTCACATCTGAAAACCGGAATGTTGAAACCCGATGTATCTTATGGCATCTGAAATCAGTTGAAAGCAGTGAAAATAGAATCTCCCGGAGCTAGAATGTGCTGGAATGCTACCGCCGGAGGACGACTAGTAGCGACCAAATTCAGGCTATGCGATTGATGGCAGAATGCACAGCATTTTCACGCGTGGCCGCGCCACACAGCCATCCCCACACCAAGCATATGAAAGCTGACGACGACTCTACCTACTCCACTATTCTCCATCCACCATGACCACCCTCCAGGATGCTTTCTTGCTCTGTAGCCTTTTCCACTGTACGCTCAGCGAGGGTAAGCACAGCCAAACCGGTACACTTGCACTAGAATGTGTCACGGTCCAATTCGCCGCCACCTCTTCTTCTTCGTCGTCTTCGCCTGCTTTCATGGGTGACGACCGCCCGGACCACCACGTATACCTCATTCTACGAATCAAAGATACCGAAATCCCCATCGAACCCGGTCGGAATGTGCAGACGCATCTCTCAGAATCGGGAACACGCACATACACATTCCTGCCTACGAGCTCCGATCCGTCCGAACTCGTCCTTACCGTCGCTCTGCCGGATATTCCCGACTCACACTACCTCGAGGACATCGAAGTCTTCGAAGGAGTTTTGGGACAGTACGCTGTGCTGCGTCCCCCTTTTCAAGCTGCTGCCGAGGAAGTTCCGCTGCCGACCAACATCTACGATAAGGAGGATATGAAGGATCTCAGGGGACACCTGGTTCTCGTGAACCAGGACAACGGGGAGGTCGTGGGAGAATTCGAGCAGAAGTTCGAGGTCAAGGAGGATCCGATGTTGACGAAGAGCGAGTCCAAAGCTTCGGATCCGGTGATCATCGAGGTAGAAGAGTCGACTGATCTTGCAGCGCGCGATGCGGATGCGCTTCAGATCTTTGCGCGAGCGATCCCGCCAGACCAGCGAGACTGGATTACGAGCAGTGCGACACTCATCAGGTGCGTCGTTCTGTTTCTAAGGATACGGGCTTCTCAAAGGACTGCAGTCATGCTATCTCCGGCTCAACCACCCTTGTCATTCGCGCCCTTTCAGCGGGCACGTCTTACTACACCAATCATACCAAGCCCGCTCCAGCTCCAGCTCCCGGTGCATCATCCAATGCACTTGCCTTCGTCTCGTCGTCGAGAACCAGACAGGGCCTCGCCGCAGTGCACTCCGTCAGCGGACAGGCGGTGAAAGTGAGCTCGAAGACTGTGAAGTTGATCGACGAGATGATTAAGAAAGCGATGGGGAACTCGAAGGGTAAGGGCCGCTCGCTTGCTCCGCCGCTGCCCTCGAGGACACCATCGCCGTCTCGGAATCTCGACCCGCCGCCGCCCCCGTATAGCCGGACGCCAAGTCCCACGACAGACGCTAAGCCACCTCTTCCACCCCGCAGACAGCCGTCGCCAGGGCTGGGTCCAGGCCCACCACTGCCGGCTCGTAAAACCGCAGCCGACACCAGTCAAATGCATCAAGGCAAGCTATCGAAGAAGGCGCGCGTAGTTCTTTCACTTGACCTTATCCTGGCCACCATCGACCATTCCACGCGCCGAATATTAGATGAAGGATCAAGGAATCTAGAGAGAGCGGTCGGCCATCAGTACGCTCTAATCGTTTGATACAACTTAGTTTGCTGATTCCGAGACGCAGATATGGGCCACAGGCAGCAGAGACCTCGGTGCTCGCTGCGGGAACCGCGAAGAATCTGGCGCTGGTCTACATTGACATGCGCGGGATCGGACGGCGGGCTCTTCTCAGACGAGCAGGCAAGGAGTTCGTCAAGGGCCGTTTGCATGGGTGATCTTACACCAATATCTTCTTGGACAACATACGATCTGTTTCTCGGATACAATGTACAACACAACAACTATCACCGCTATGCTCAGGTCATCGATGGAATGATAAAGCAGGTGACCTGGTTGTCGCGGGAGACGGCCTTGCTCGCCTCGCCGCTGACGTTGACGGAAGTGACGGCTTTCCCGCCCCACGGCTGGGACGACGCGTGGGACCAGCTGTTCCCGACTGGCTGACGGGCAAGCTGGTCGCCGACGTACCACACCGCCTCGCCGGCGCCGTCCCAGAAGAACGCGAAGCCGGTGAAGGTGTAGGAGTGCGAGATCAGGAAACGGGTCACGCCGTCCTCGCTGGTGGCAGTAGCGGTGATGCTGCCGGCGTGGTTCGGGATGTTGCCATTGCTTCCGTAGGAGAGGAGGTGGATCTTGCCTGGTCCGCGGGCCACAACGATGACCGGCGCGCCCTGGATGAATGCTTGCGTAGAGCTCATTCTGAAATCAGGGTGAGATTGGGAGGCTTCTCGCGGATGATCTGGGACTCGCTCTGTTTGGTTCTTCTGCGTGTGCTGAAGATAAAATCGTAGTGCTTTGGGAGCCTTTTATATCGCCTGCGTCCCAGTAATTCGCTCAATTCCTCGGATCGTCTCAGTAGCTTTCCTCTTAGATTCGCCGTCGTCCTCTGCTCCCTCAACTCTTTGCGCCAGGGTGCCACTGATTGATGCAACTACGATCCAGTTGGTTGTTCTGTCCCTTACGATCGAACTCGATAGACTCGGCAGCCGTCAGATGCGGTAACTTGAGGGGGGACGTCGTACATCCTGATGTGACGCAAGCCTGGGAGTCACCTCGCAATGGCCGCGCCATTCGAGAGGCTGGATATCTATGGAATCAGAGAACTCGAGAGATCTTCAGCGTTGCGTATCGGCGCTTATAAGTGGACCGCGTGCAAAAGCAATACACATGAGAATTTGAACCGACACACTTAATAAACAAGGCGGTCATGAGGACATTTCGGCAGACCCTCGACGTGACACCCAGCATTCCAGGGTGACAGGAAATTTCGTGTGAGCTCACGGTATACTCAGGGACTCAGCGCGGAGTTCACTCACGCCCCAACCGAGCAAAGTCGCAGTCAATGGTCTGACACTGACAAGCTCCATCTTAGCTCGTTGACGTACCACCAGCGCCAGCGGACATGTGCTAATGGGTCGCGATATGCATCAAATGACACAGCTATGCCATAGAAAAAATCCACCAGAGTCGAATCATAATGCATAGCGGACTTACTGGCCGAATACCAATCCATCGAGCGAACTGAACGGATAGTTCGTCTGCTTGGAGCTTGACTGATTCTAGTGGGGCTTATGAACATTTAGAATTGGAGAAAGATCGATACATTGAAATACTCTGCCTAGCAGAGATATATTGACTGGTGAAGACGTTCAGGTTGGAAATCGAACCAGATCACGTGATATATGGTTGGATTAAGATGTTCATTGCATAGACGGCCAAGAAAGTCGAGAGAATTATCCACAGAAGCAAATAATACCGTAAAATATTTCGTATGACTGCTATCACGGCGACTGTGACGATCCACGATCGTGGTGGGTCAACACGGCTCATCACATCTGACGAGGGGTCTCGGAATCTAGAGAGAGCCGTCAGCCATCAGGAGGTTCTTGTCATCCCCCGCTGCCATGCATGCTGAATTCAGACGAGCAGGAAGAGACAAATCCTCAAAGGCATTTTGCAGGGGGGATCTCACGCTAAAATCTTCTTCAACAGCACGCGATTCGTTTCTCACATACACCACACGCTACGTACAATATAACTGTCACTGCCATGCTCAGGTCATGGATGGAATGATGAAGCAGGTGATCTGATTGTCCCGAGAGACAGCCTTGCTCACTTCGCCACTGACGTTGACAGAAGTGACGGGTTTTCCGCCCCACGGTTGGGACGACGCGTTCGACCAGCTGGTCCCGACGCGCAAAAAAAAAATGAATCACATGACACATCCAATGGGCGGGATGGCGGCTGATGGCGGGGTAAAAAAATCACGTGATGCACCGCATGAAAATTATCAAAAATGGCTAGCAGGGGTTGGCGGGGGTTGGCGGGGGCGCTACTGGCCCCCCGCACACCATGGCGGGCAGTGGGCGCATTATCACGTGACTTTTGGGGCACCTTTTGTGCACCATTCGGCATGATTTCGGAGGTGTTGCTTGATCCATTGCATGCTGTGGCAGACAATGGGCGCATAATCACGTGATTTTCCGCCCAAAAAAATGGAAGCCTTCCCCAAATCATCCTGGTATCATTTCTATCGGTAAATACACTAGTTAAGCATGAATTTGAGCTTAGAAAGCCCAAAATGCACCCTGCACAATGGGACTGGTGATGCACTTGATCCCATCATTTGGCGGGGTCTGCTGCGGGGGGTGCCACGGGGGGTGCTGCGGGGGGTGCTGCGGGGGGTGCCGCAGGGGGTGCCACAAGGGGTGCCGCAGGGGGTGCCGCAGGGCCCGCTGTGGGGTCAACCACAGGAGCAGGGGTAGGGGTGCATTGCATCGTATTTTGATCTATCTATTCTCGCTGTGGTCATAGCATGCAGCATAATTATCCTTCATTTTGCCAGGAGTTTGGAGGCTGTGTCTGGGGTTGGTCTGCAGCTACAGCCATGTGACTCCCTGATGCTTCGGCAGGGGCTGGGATATCAAAACTGTGCAATATTGTCTGCATAATCCAGGCATGTAGGGTTAAAAAGAAAGTGTGATTTGTTCATTTTTTGGCTGGCAGGGTAGGTGGGCTGACATCATGGGCTGCATCGGGTCCACTGTCAACTCATTGATTGTTTCGTCTGCTCATTCTATACACATGCCCATTGGTAAGCTGATCATGCTGTAGGCACAGTCTAATCTTACCCAGTGGATAATACCACACGTTAATTATGCACCTAATGTCACACTTCCTGTCTGGGACTCATTGAAGTTCATCTGTTCTGTGTTACTTTACAAGCAGTTTGCTTTAGTTGCAACATGAACAGATGTAATAGAGTGGATTTGACATGCCCTGAATTGATTCCTAGGTGGAATATGAGACAATGGATTCACCAGCAAGTTGCCTCACAATAGTCAGAGATTGGTAATATTTGAATTTCAAATTTCATATACAACACTCTGTGCACTCAGAGCTCGTATATTTGCAAGATAGACTGTAGAGACATAGATGGTTACTTTTACTACCTCTGGGGCTGCACACATCCTTGCCATGACCCACTGCCTGCACCCCTGCTGGTACCCCCATTGGCACCCCCGCCGGCACCCCTGTTGGCACCCCCGCCGGCACCCCCGCTGGCACCCCCGCCAGTCTAGCACCCCCCGCTGCACCGGTGCCTTGTCCCCGTGATTTTCTTATATGTAAGATTATGTAAACTGACAGCTCGGAACACGTCAAGTCACTAGCCAATCAGAACCTGTATAAACGTCGTACCTAAGTGTTTACTGCTCTTCTAACACTGTTCCTACAGTTATGCAGCTGAAAACCATCGGAATAAGGTCTCCTTCTGCTATTCTTATTGAATATGTAGATACTTCATATCATTTGTCCACCTAAAATTCGAAACATGAAAAGAGTTCACCATTGCTCAAGGTTCCTATGTAGACAATGGTTCAACATGGTTCACTTTGGGTATGGCAAAAAATATTTTTTCTACACACAAGCAATTCAATACAGCTGAATGATATACTCTTTGGCAGTGTCTGAAACAAATTCTGAGAGCCCTGGACCCTGGAACTATTCAAAAACTTGAAATGAGTCCGAAAAATAGGGTCTTGATAAACATGAGATATGGGCTGGTTTGAAGAGACATGGGCCACCGGTCATGTTGAATATAGTATTTTACAATGTTTCGGTGCCCTACCTCTCATCACATGGCCTCATTTCCTACTAAAAAGGGTGCATACACACTCAAGCTCATAAAATCAATTGTCACCCAGAAACAAGAGCAGTGAAGTTGTTTCACTGGGATTGGGTAAAGGTTACCTAGAAGTCACTTGGGTTGCAGTACAGAAGCTTTGGAAAGTGATTTTGTAGTTGATCCACATTTGGTAGGCTGGCAGATGCTTGTGCACCCCCACGGCACCCCCCGTGGCACCCCCCGCGGCACCCCCTGTGGTTGACCCCCCCCCCAACCCCTGCAAGGATTTAATTGACAAATGTCCTGCTCAATCCATTGTAAGAGTCTACAGTATTATTGGATTCAGTAAAGGGCCCAAATGGTGTGTAGACAAGAAGTATGAAATCCGGAAATCAACAATTATGACACCTCCACGGAATATGCTGCAAATGGAGAGAAAAATTTGAGTGCAGACAGACTACCTGAAGCAAACAGACAGAGAAAAGAAACATTAGCCATTTCTTGTTGATGATGTTGGCTGTCCCTGGAGCATGTACTTGGGAGATTTGCCTAACAAATCAAGTTGCACATTTTTCAAATTTTTAGTTTGACCTGACAGCTTGAGCAGACCATGCTAAAATGAACCAAGTCATATATATCAGTGCCCCAAGCCAAGCCAAAAGATTTAGGTAAATTTGCACAGTTTTGATATCCCAGCCCCTGCCGAAGCATCAGGGAGTCACATGGCTGTAGCTGCAGACCAACCCCAGACACAGCCTCCAAACTCCTGGCAAAATGAAGGATAATTATGCTGCATGCTATGACCACAGCGAGAATAGATAGATCAAAATACGATGCAATGCACCCCTACCCCTGCTCCTGTGGTTGACCCCACAGCGGGCCCTGCGGCACCCCCTGCGGCACCCCTTGTGGCACCCCCTGCGGCACCCCCCGCAGCACCCCCCGCAGCACCCCCCGTGGCACCCCCCGCAGCAGACCCCGCCAAATGATGGGATCAAGTGCATCACCAGTCCCATTGTGCAGGGTGCATTTTGGGCTTTCTAAGCTCAAATTCATGCTTAACTAGTGTATTTACCGATAGAAATGATACCAGGATGATTTGGGGAAGGCTTCCATTTTTTTGGGCGGAAAATCACGTGATTATGCGCCCATTGTCTGCCACAGCATGCAATGGATCAAGCAACACCTCCGAAATCATGCCGAATGGTGCACAAAAGGTGCCCCAAAAGTCACGTGATAATGCGCCCACTGCCCGCCATGGTGTGCGGGGGGCCAGTAGCGCCCCCGCCAACCCCCGCCAACCCCTGCTAGCCATTTTTGATAATTTTCATGCGGTGCATCACGTGATTTTTTTACCCCGCCATCAGCCGCCATCCCGCCCATTGGATGTGTCATGTGATTCATTTTTTTTTTTGCGCCCACCTGCCCGCTCCCAATGATAAATCACATGACATGTACAGACCCCCCCCTGCTGACCCCCGCATATGCCCCCGCCCCCAAATGGACCAAATCCCCCCCGCGGGCCCCGCAGGGGGGTACCTGTTAGGTACCCTCAGAGCTACGTCTGAGGGTACCCAGGAGGACCCCCGCGGGGGTGCAACCGGGTGATGGCGGTGGTAACTGAGGTGAGGTGCGCAGTTGCACAACTCGAGCCAGCATATGCATTGAATTACGTTGGCCGTGGTAACGATATAGGCAGACCCTCCACATGATAATAGTTAACAAAAGGCCTCGGTTAAGCTTGCCTAACGTTCAGGGATATTGCGTGACAAGCATTGTTTTCACACCCATTGTTAGCGAATATATCCCTGCTGATCTGTGATATACGTCAAAATCGTACTTGAAAGATCTAAGAGACTCCGCCGCACAGGAGACTGAGGGCTTAATCGTGATGTAGAGTGAGCTTTGGCTGTCGTACACCAACTCGGCAAGCGAACTGTTGTTCAAGTTCGCTTGCATGGGAATTCACACATTCAGCCAGTAATTCAGACTCAGCTGAGTATCAAAGAAAAGAATTAGACTCATATCTGCATATGAACATGCTGAACTCAAAATCAGAGGCGCGTAAAATTGAACTGAATAAGTCACGTGACACGCTGTTCAATATCCGTACTGTTGTAATCTCGAGATCCGGGGAACGTTTGTCGTGCATAGACCGGAGAAGCAACAAAGCAGGGCTTCTACGCCATCATTACTACTGGCACCATACTTTTTCTCATGCACATCCTTTGAAAGAATCTCATTGGAGCACGGTCACTGGATTCGTGTTTGACCGGGAGGTTGTAGTAACAAGGCCATCTAGAACGTCTTTAACGAGACTCTGTGTGATGCCGTGGACTTTAAATTGGCTTTTTTTGACCGGTGGAGTGGTCATGGAATGGTTTCTTCTGATGTGCAACTCATCCTAGCGGTTGCGGGGAGGAAAGGGGGACAGGTTTCATATTTACTTGCGTAGACACTTTCGAGTCGAGTCAGAATGCGGCAAGAATTTATCTGCGAATTGTCTCATAGGATTGATGTATTTTCAACATTCTTGTCTGTGGTGTGCCATCTGGATCGATCGATTTGAAACCCGCTGCGCGTTCCCCAGCCCTGAGACCATCTGACGCGCCCGGTGACAATGAAGCAATAATACGTGTTCTCAGAGAGGGTGATAACACGGCGGTGGAAGATGCGTGTGTTTTTCGCATGCGGAGCCACCCCAGTGGATGCGACAGCTGGAATGCTTGGCCAATGAAATGAACACACCTGAGAATGAAAAATTGCGTTTTCGGGGACAGCGTTCACAGAGCGGTTTTTGCACAAGATATAAAATGTGAGTCGACTTGAGCAGAGTAATCTCAAGCCAGTCAGAAAAACACCAACTACTCAGTGAGTGCTTTCGAAAATCCCCCTAGCTCGCATTATCTGACCTTCGATCAGCATACATCCATGTCTGTTACTGCATTCCGCCAGGGCGGCGCCGTGATCGTTGTGACGCGGGGGCCCGGAAACCTGAACCTGCTCTCCTACTCGAGCAACGCGAAGATCCAGAACCATGTGGGCGCGACCAACACAAACAACTCTGGCGTGACGCGCTTCCTGATCTCGCACTCCTACACCTTCGAGCAGTTCGCGTTCCACTGGGACGGCCAGGGAGAAGCCGCCTGGAGCATTGGGAACGGACTTGTGCGCCAGCCAGTTGGTAAAGGATGGAATGCGGCTGTGAACATCCAATGGAACGGACCGACGTCGGGTTCGCTGGATGTTTCAGGCCAAGTGTCGTCTGCCGTGAATCGTGACGGCGCGGTGACCTGCTTCATCATTCCGGAATCGACCTGAGAAGCTATCTGCGTCACGCCGGAGATATTAGCCAATTGTAACATCACGTACTTTCTTGGAAAATCAGTGTTCAGATAAGTGTTTGGTTGTTTCGGCCATGATGAAATCTCGCGTTTTGTGCAATTGTGTGGGTCCCAGTTGAACGTTGAGCTTCTCTCACGTAATTGATCTGATCTTCGCCATGCGCAGCCTCAGTCGACTGAGAGTGGATACTGCAAAATCAGTTCAAGCATCCCGAAAACAAGTGCTGGCGTCCAACCCATTGAAGCAATGCCGGCATGACGAACCAGGTGACCAAGTCATTGGCATTCGCAGCAGAAGAGATGTGCATGAACATTTATCGACGTCACTGATTTGCTGCTCCACAGCCCGGGCCGCCGTGAAGCCGATTTCCAGCTTTTCTCTATAGCCCGACGCAGCACGCCGTCTCCAACGGCCCACGCAGCCTCTCTTGGGCCGTCACAGTCAACCGCGAATCTGTTGTCTGAATAGGCGTGGGAGATTGGGAAGCGCGTGACGCCAGTGTCAGTCATGGTGGCAGCGCGGGCGTAGCAGAGAAGAAATCAACATTCGCCAGGACCGCCGAGAATGCACTCTGAGTAGATAGATCAATTTATTGTGCTTGACAATTTTTTTTCAGTGCAGGATGGCTCATCGTTTCTAGAAACCCATGTCTTCACATTTGATCGACTCGGCCATAGATTTTCTCTGTTCAACAGTCCAGCGCGTCGTTTGATGTGCCATGCTAGCTGACAATTTTGCGGATCCCAGGAAAGTCGCCTTCTTCAACGCGATCGATGCACCGGCGGACTCGAGCGGGGTGGCGAGGGCGACCGTGGATCCCTTGCTTAACGCGGGAGCCTGTCGAATTTGCACCATCGTAAGACCGTCGAATCACACCCCGGTCGTCGTCACTGTCCCCCAACATGGACCTTTGGATCATGGCGTTCATGTGTGTTGATTTTGCAGTATTACTTCTATCTGGGACATACCATATTTTTCAACAGTTTGGAAGTTCAAATTGAAGTGCTGTCAAAAAAAATCGGTCTGAGTATGCGAATATTGGTAGCTCATGTAAAAACACTCCCTGTCCTTCTCTGTGTCAAATTACCGATCTTGGAAGTGGGTTAAGCATCTCAAGATAGTGTATCGTGATGGCATCACTCACAGTAAGCCAAACAGAGACATCTCGGAGTTCAGCGAGTAAATGGCACTGCTACCTCCTGTTTGCAGAACATTACCTAGAAACTCATATGCCTTCACTTAAACGCAAACGAACTTCTCCTCTCTGGAACACATTCGATCAGGGTATTTCAACGTCGGACTCTGATGACCCAGATGACGATCTCCCCGTGCTCAATCTCATTATCGACAAACGCACTGGCGAAACAACAGGAAGATTCGCGTCAGAAGACGGGGAAGGTCCCGATATCCTCCTCTCCAGCCCAATGACACGAGGGACGCTGCGGGCTCAATCCGGCAGGCGCAATCGGCCGACCACGACCCGCCAGGGTCAGTCTACGGTCAGAACGAACGTGCTGACGACGTCTTCCGAGTCGGGAGCTTCCAGACGAAGTGCCTCCGAGCCTATCGTGTTAGACGACGACGCCGACTTTGTCCAGCTTTCGACCGATACACCTTACGTGTCTACGCGAACGCGGCTCCCCCGATCGCCCGTCGTCTCTGACTTTGAGAATGCGCCTAGTGCGAAGACGCCCATTCGCAAGAGGGTACGACGGGTCCTGTCCCCTTCTTTCTCTGATTTTGAGCATGTACGCGCGTCCTCGGATGATGAGTCGAATCCCCCGGCTCCCGCATCTACAAAGACCCGACGGTGTCCAGTCGCTTCGTCGGATTCGGAGCATGACACGGGGCCTGTGGAGGAGTTTCATACGCACAGAATCACTCGTCGGGCTAGTCAGACCTCGATGGGCACCGTGGAAGAGGATCAGAATGACTTGCATTGTGAGTGACGGAATGCTCTCGAGTTTACGGCCAACATTGACACTTACAGTCACTCCCCCTCCGTGCTCGTCTCGGCCGAGCCATAAGGAGCACAAAGCCAGCGTTCGCGAGGCGCTCAGGACTGCCAGATCGCACAAGGCTCAGGGTATCCCGAGAACGCCTGCGGAGGTCCACACACTATCATCCTCTGAATGCGCCTCCGACGATGACTCAGACACAGAAACAGGCGCATTTGGACACTCGTCGAGATCTGGATCGGAGAACCTAACCGACTTCATCGACGATGCCGATGAAGAGACAGGAGATATCAAAGAGGTCGATGATGTGCTTGCTCCTGGTCGAGTGAATCGGTTCTCTACCCGGAAGCACTTCCAAGCGTGTGCCGTTTACCTGGCGAGGCTACATCATCCGACTGGAACGTCCCTCACGCCCGAACAAGGTGCGTCCTGCTGCACCTCTCTATTCTAATCGGTCTCCATGACGGCTCAGAGCGCGACTGTCAAGTCTCTCTGACCAAGATCCAAGATTGCACAACGGCAGTGGCCGATTCCATGCAGAAATCCACGTGGACGCGGCCTTTCCTCTACACGATCGATGAGCGCCCGATTCTCGTCGGCCCTTACAACGCGGAAGAGGCAGAATGCCAAGCCTGCTGGACCCGGGGTGACTACGAATGCAATCGCTTGGGCACCCAATACGTCGCTACCCGCAAAGGGTTTTACGAGCGCAAGGGCGTGTTTCAAGTGAGCCGTCACCGCGACGAACAGCACTGCTACCCTTGTGTTGACCATCGCTATTGTCAGGACGTTCTGGAGGAAAACGTCGAGTATTCCACGGAAACGCCTGGCGACTGGGAGAATAGTGCGCTGGCGCCCAAGATTCTCTACCCTCCCCAGCACCGGATCTATCTCGGAAAGCGATGTGCCGAGCGGATCGTTGCCTAGTGGGTGCATTCTTCGGCGGCTGCTTCTTGCCTTGACACGACGTTGCCGCTTACAGCCATGCTGCACGGCATTACATGTACTACCTCTCCTCCCGCATCAAGGACGAAGTCGAGCGAGAGTGCAGCGAGGATCAACGTTCCGAAGATGACGTTGATCTTCTTGTCGAACGTCTCTCCCGGTTTTTGCGGCAGGTGTGTTCAATGAGCACCCTGTGCTTGAAGCCTCACTGGATATTTCTGCAGCTCGATGAAGACTTTGGCCGAGATCGGAGGTCGTGGCACAATTTCGGTGCTGGTGTTCCGTTCGAAGAGACTGACGAGGAGGACGTTGACGAATAGCAGCGAATGCTGGTCGATACCCTTCTGGAACAGTGATCAGATAAGCAACGTAGTTGTAGATCGATTAGATAAAGACGACATCATGATCTCTACCAGCCGTGTGGTCTACGACCTCCTTCTCACACTATGGCTCATCCGGTGAGTGACCATAACATGCTGGACTATACACAGCCCGCAGAGCATATCAAAGCGGTCAACATGGGGCCAGTGCCCCAGCGAATCTTTGACGATATGCGCAAGTACGAAGACTCTCAGAGAGGTGGGTGCGGGGGTCTGTGGCCGCTCGTGGACATGCTGGAATACATCATCACCAGGATTCTCGTTAGAATGTTTCGAGAAGTTGACTCCCAAGGATACTGGAGGTCCCGGCTCTGTGATCATCGGGCACAGGCCAGAGGACTCTCAAGTGGAGGAACTATACCGGATGTCGTTGGATCCCGAGAAGACAGCCCTCGAGCGGATCACGTACTTCAATCTGAACAGCGGGCGCAGGATCTCAAGCTACGTCTCGGTTGCGGGAGACGATTGGCGGGGCGTTTGGCGCGGACGGGGACACATCCTCGCCATGGATCTAGATGGGAACGAGTACTTCCAGCTCTGGAGATACTGGGAAGACGCCGACTCGACTGTCCAGCTGCCTGTCATTGAAGGAGAGCTCGAAAACATACCGGGCGGGCGCATCGAGCGCCTGAATCACGACGCGTTTCGGTACAGCAATGTCGTCGTTTCGGACTCCGATAAGTGCGTGGTGTTATAGTCTGGTATGTCTCTGATACAGCGCTGACTATTTTCTCAGGTTGATGGCATTCACGTCGAACAAGGAAAACGGCAAGGACACGTTGGTGTATGTTGCCGCCCTACAGAACTCCCATACTGGTGCTGCTGCCGATTCCAAGCCGTTTCATCTTGTCTCCCAGCTCGTCACTCCACCGGCAGTAAAGGGAACCGACCGCTGGGTAGTCTCTGACATCTCATTGGACGACCAGTTTCTCCTTATCACCAAAACTCAGACGTCGTTCTACTCGCCGTGTTATCTGGTACACGTGTCAGGCCTGAGCGCTCCGGAACTCATCGTCTTGCCCGATACGACCGAGGACGAGAGCCAGACGATGATCATCGCGCCAAAGTTCTCTCGCGATCCGGGGACGCCCCATCTAGTATACATGATCACCAATGCATACGGCGACTTCCAGTCGATCGTGCGGTACGATACGATCTCCAGGACGGTGATGCACATCACCACGCCCGAGCCCAGTCTTCGTGCGCTGCGGCCGGTCAGCTGGCCGTGCTCGGCGCTCAAGGTGACCTCGAAATACGTCAAGTTCAGAGCGAATCTAGACGGCTTCAGTGCTGCCTTTCTCCTCCCCCTCCAAGGCCCATACAAGGATGCCGTGATCCAAGTCAAGCCAGAACTTGAGGGGATATCATTCAACCTTTCGCTGACCGAGGCCGACCCGGACACCGTCGTCGTTTCTTTGGGCTCGCATCATACAGCAGCTTCGCTTGCGCGTTTTAATATTCACGACTTCATACCGGAGAAAGTCCAGACAGATTCGGACGGATCTTTGTTCATTTCAATGCATTTGACACCATATGCGCAGGCGACACCCGAGTCTCGTCCATTTCGCACGTTTCCGTGCAAGCTGATGCGATTCAAGAGCTTTGATGGGTTAGAGATCCCTTGTATGTATTACCATCCGACGGACAGCAAGACAGTGGTCCCGGTTGTGATTTCTATACACGGCGGTCCGGCCAGTGGGTTTTTTCGTTCTGTGTTTTTTCACGATCGTGGTGCTCACCCACGTTTTCTAATCAGGCCAGACCTCGTCCGACTCGCGCAGCAAGATCCACTGGTACATCATGAATGAGCTGGGTTATGCTGTGCTATGTCCCAACGTCCGAGGAAGCTCTGGCTACGGCAAGCGCTTCATGGCTGCAGACGACGTCGAGTTACGTGAGGATTCGGTCAAGTGAGTGACAGGCTGGTTATTCCCCCTTCGAGTTGACAAGGATTGGAAGAGACATTGGCTCGTTGCTCGACCACATTGAACACCGCATGCAGAGCGAACTCGACTCCAAACGAATCGCTGTGATGGGAGGATCCTGTGCGTCCTTTCTCTCGTCGCCGAACTCTTATCGTTGAAGCATCCGAAAGACGGTGGCTACATGACCCTGGTCAGTCCACCCCTCATGGCCAGTTTTAAATTCCCTCTCACTTCCCGTTCAGGCCTGCTTGATCCATTACCCTCGCCGATTCGCCTGTGGGCTCGCCAATTTCCCCATCGCTCACTGGCCGTCGTTCCTGGAAACAACTGCACCGCATCGCAGAGCGCATCGACGTGGCGAGTATGGCGACGAGACGGACCCGCAGATCCGAGATTTTCTGGAGAAGATTTCACCCATCAACCGGACGTCGGAAATCTCGGTTCCCCTGCAGATTGCTCACGGAGACAACGATTCCCGGGTGCCCGTCGACCAGGCTATCCGGATGTGGCAGACTGTGTCCCAGAACGGCGTGCATTGCGAGTTGATCATTTGCGAGAAAGAAGGCCACGGTGAGTGCCATTCGCCTCAACGAATTTCAGCCTCGACGAACATCCGGTGTAGGATTCAGTCAGAAGAGCGTGATCGAATTCACAAATGCGGCGAAGCTGCACTTCTTGGAAAGATTTCTGCCCGTGCAACAGATCCAATATCACACCGCTGTATTGTGACCAGATGCACTACTGCATTCTCGACAATACTATCTGAGAATCAGGGTTATGTTCCGAAGTAGGAATCGACATGGATGGAACCTACGCTAGACGGGCGAATACTATTGAATC